TTTGTGTGAGTGTCGAAGTGCTTTAGCCATGCAACGCCTAGCTCATTATTCGTCCAGCCATTGTCGCTGACTGCGATTACCCACTCGCGTGGGATCTCTGCCTCGTACCAGGCAGATAGGTGATACTGGCCAGCGAAGATAAGGAACGGTGGGACTGACCAGCCAGCTGCGTTAATCGCTGCGATCAGCGTTACCCACTCGCGATTGCCTGGCTCAACTGCCTTTGGCCGGCCTCTTCTCTCTGACGCTGTTACGACAAGCTGAGTCGTGATCTTGCCTATCATAAAGCCAGCTTCGTCAAAGTTATAGACGTCTTCGTCGCAGATGCCGTACTTGGCCTTTGTCTGCTCCACAAGCTCAAACCAGCTCTTAATTAGGGCTGGATCTTCACATAGAGCTCTCTGCCTATCGTACGCTCGATTAAAACGCGTTGTAAGAGAGCCTGTACGCCTAATAAAGTTGGCTGGCCACTTCTGCCTAACGTGGCCAGCACCACGTGCAGCTAGTAGCTTATCAGCCATATCACGTACGGCAGCGTAGGTAGGCGCAAATCCACGCTGATCTAGATCAAGTATATGGCTTATAATCACCTCCTCTTCTATCTGAGTAAGCTTTTTTGAGTTGGGCTGGCAATCGCGTCTCGCACGCTTCCCAGCGCGTCGATCGCGTAACGTTGATTCAGGCACGTTAAAGATTGAAGCTGCGCGTCGGCCTGTTTGAATTTGATTAGAATTAAGAGATTGTATAGCAAGCTGAATATCTGATTCATTTGAGAGTAATTGAATAGCGTGGCGTGGAGCCATGATAAAGGCAAGTGTAATAGAGTAAGAAAGTTGGTGAGGTGCGCGACTCGCTTGCCTGCGCGACTCGCTTATCCGCCACGTTACTAGTAACTAGTACTAACTACCAGTGTGACCCGGACCTTGGTATTCCCGTGGTATGCCCGAGGGGCATGCGCGCAGCGCACGCACGCGTGTGTGTGCACAGCGAACGTCTGCACACCCTGTTTTTTTTTGCTTGCCCCGATTACAGTTTGAAAGGGGGGGGCCGTGAGCGGGGTGGTGAGAGACTTAATATAACCATTTCACGCCTGTTTTCTACACTTGCTGTATGCGGTAAGATGGTATGCGAACTCGGGGGTTTTCTGAGGGTGGAGACAGCTTGATGACGTAGGGGGAGTCCCGCGCGTGGTTTGTGAGCGGTGGTGGTGGTGCAGCAGAAAGGGGGAGATGACGCAGATGGGGCACTTGTTCGTGCCGCCATGGGCGTTGTAGGTGCATATTGCCAAGTTGGGATGGCGTGCAAAGTGCATAAGCTGAGGTATGGTGTTACAGGATACGGTACGGGTCTCATATGCTATGTACAATATGCATCTATATCTTCCTCTGCTTTGCTAATCTGTTGTATCTGGAAGCTTTTCCACTCAACCACGACGCGCCTTGCAAGAGTACCACCACGTTTATTTGGGAGGAGGGGTATACCATGCGCCTCCCTTACCGTTGTTGAAGTATCTCGAGCCCTGGTCTTACATCAGTACACGTCTACACCGCCGTCCCTCCTGGACCTATGTTGGAGTTGCTGTAGTAGTATGAACCATCCCTGTTAGAGTAGTGGTAAGGGTTCGAGTTCACGTCGTTGGACCCAGCTTCACGAGTGCACCAGTGGTTTCCCTGAACAATATGGTCAACATGATGATGGGTATTCCGAGCGGTCCGGGGCCTTGCCTCATTGTTGATGCCGTGGTTGGTCACGTTAGAGCTCGTTCTACTAGAAGAGCCGGAGCCGGAGCTTGATGAAGTCTTCTGCGACGACATGACAGATGGTGTAATCTATCTCTTGGAAGTCACTTTAGAAACGTGAGTTGTGGAGCTGGTCTGGAGTAAGCAGAGAAAGATGAGGGGAAAGACATACCTCGGCAGTACGAATACTGTCTTGGTTTGCACAAATACGGCTGACATGACAGGGTAGTCCTTGCTTTATTCCAGCTCGTGAGATTCGCTTCGTGGATCGTTGCTGCTTCACGAGATTCAGCCAGAGAAAAGGTCAGGTTGCACTCAAGAGGTTGTCGCAAGAGATTGGGAATGCTGAGTTTTGAGCTACATGGGCAACTGGAGAAGCTGCTGGAGTAGGCAGAGACTTGCCAGATGGATGATTCAAGTACAGACGTTAGGCGTGGGAACACCATAAAAAAACTGTATTATCGCGAGATAGATACAGGAAACACAGGCTATCTCGACATCTGGAGGCTATGCCTGATGAGCGACCCTATCGCGCCTCCCTCCCCTTCTGTCCTCGTTATTGTATGAATCGGATTGCTTCCCTGGGTGGTACATCAATCCCTGCAGCAACTGTTAGAGAAGTTGATTTTGGTATGATGCTGGGGCCATTTCGTATGTGTAGTGTGCTTGCTTACGAGGTGTCCTGTTTTATCCCAGTGGCAAGCTCTCCCAACCAGGGACAGTGACTAGTACTCATCTTTTCCCTCACTTGCCAGATTGCTTCCGCGACCGTTTTGGATTGAACGTCGAGCTGGTAGACGCGGATGGTAGCGTGTCAGTCATGATAAGTGAGGGCATATCAGCGACGTAGAGGTCTTGAATTCGGAAACATTCCCGACGCTCTTCACTTTCACGAGTATTCACCAAGATACTGGAGATAATGAGAAGTGCCATGGAGAGGACGGTGCTGATGAAGTTGATCATGGCGACGACGATCCAGAAACAAATGACAATGAGGAACATCAGCAAGAGAAGGATGCTACAGACGCCAATGCTGACCAAAGCCAGTAGCCAATCGATGAGCATTGAGTAGCTGTTGGTCATGGCGACTGTATAATCTGACATGGTTGATAGGAAGGGCTTTGCAAATATGAGAAGAACTGACAAGCAGTTGAGGAAATGGAGCGGCAAATTCTTAGTGGTGTTAGCTTAGTTTTTGGGTTACGCGAGCTGGAAGAAGTGAAAGTGAATCAACCTATAGCGTGTAATTGATTTCTGGACGCGGCGCGTTGGGTTACTATGTGGTATACTTTGCTATCAACAAGATGGATGTGAACACTCTTACACTGTTGCACGGATTTCAGGACACTATAAAGAGGGTCCGGTATTTTCGATAATCATTTGCATTGAATTCGCGCAGTTCCCACTGCAATTATGATGACGGGACATGTCAACTTGGACTGTCCATTTTCCTTCATAATACATTACTCAACCGTGAATGCCCATTGCCCCATTGCCCCATGTGTTCAAACTCCGTATAATAGCAAGAAAAGACTTTTATCAACCTTTGTACCATCACTTGATTATACTATGCCGGGATCCAAAGCTATCAGCCAGGCCATGTTGCAAGTAGCCATATGCGATGCATAAGGCTGCGTCGATAAAGAAAGGCACTTGTAATGTCAGTGAGCGAGCAGTGGGAGGGATCGATGTTTGGCTTACCTTGAAGTTTTTGGACGCTTTTAGACCTCTGCGATAATCTCCTCATCAGATCCGATCGCATCAACATCTGCGGAGTCCTCAGCCTCGTCGGGCTCAGACTTAATAACTACATGGAACCAACATTGCAAGAGTTGCATGGCGTGTCTAAACAAGCACTCACCTTCTTCTTCTTTAGGAGCCGCCTTGCCACGAGCAGGCTTCTTCTTAGGCGAAGAATCACCGTCGACCTCCTGTTTCTTGGAAGCACGCTTGCGAGGCGTGGCCTTTGGGGTGGCATCTCCATCGGCTTCGTCGCCCTCTTTCTTAGAGACAACACCCTTCTTAGCGCGAGGAGTCTTCTTTGGAGTAGGTAGAGCAGTGCCATCGGCAAAAGGAGTCATCAACTTGAGTTTGATCTTGGCCCAGGCGTTGCTGGCAGAGCGCGGATTGCTCATGCCAGCAAAGGCAGCAAGCTTATCGTAGTCGATCTTTTGATGAGAGTGAGCACGGTATAAGGAGGTGGCAAGCCAAAGGTATGTCTCGAAACAACATGGCAATCACATACCTCTGGAGGACCAGACTTGAGTGACTGTATAGCCCAACCCAGGAGTTGGAGCTCACGCTCGGTGAAGTGGGGAGCAGAGCCATTGGTAGCAGTGGTCTTATCGGTGTCAGACATGTTGTTGATGTTGAAGCTGAGTGATTTTTTGAAAGTGTTTGCGTGAGATGGAAGAGGTAGGGAAGTGCAAAGGTGCAGATGGATAGTAAATATGTCTGAGGCCCGCTAGCGCGATGATGTCGTTAACAGGCAGTGAAGGTGAGTGCACTGTGGTGCCGCAGAAGGGCTACATATGCTCGCCAAAATACAAACTCACCTCTATGCTCACTGTGAGAGGCTCGTTAATGACGCACACAGTTGCTTGGGTGACGATGGGCGCACTGGCGTGCAAGGTTTGTAGGCGGAGTGAAGGTGAGATGCCATCGTTTGCACCCGTATTTGGCACGCAAGCAAGACGGCGGAAGGGATTCATGCACATTTGTTGTTGCAAATTACCGCAATTTGTTCCAAATAAGCCTCGTATAGTGTATTTCAAGATGAATGTTCTAGTCTGCTCGCTCTGGTAATGAGGAATGTTATCGGTGTGGGAAGCAACCCCCCCCAGCATGTTATGGACTCGTAGAGAAAGCAGGAGAGGATAACTACCCAGGCTTCGCGCGATGATTACTTGTGACATGGTTTTTAGCGGCACCTCTCTTTCTTGCATAGCAGTCTCTGTTTTTTGGTGGATGGTGAAGGGCGCGATTGCCGCGTGGTGAAGTGAGTAAATCACAGCTGCCACCAGAGTCATGGGTGATGCTAGAAACCTCGAACACAAATACTACTACTCATTCCAACACTATCCAAATTCATAAATATCAAAATTGAAGCAGAGGTGAGGTTGTCCATCAGAGGTCGAGACCATGAGCTACCCCGGCGGGCATGCGCATGACTCGCGCGAGCAGCGCCCAATCCAAGCGGCCGAATCGCTGGGGCTCGAGACATTCGAAGGCGCTGGCACTCGTCGACAATACTCAAGCAACCCGCCCTTGACCACGCCCGTCTTTTTCCTGGCCAAGCACAGCAAAATGGCGGATCCCATTGATAGCGCTCTGTAGGCCATTCTTTCTTTTGCACGCGCACCTGACTTGCTCTTCTAGCTAACACAGCTACAGCGACCTCCTCCGCCGGCTGGACCCCAAGGACGTCAAGCGCAATGTCGACCACATTATCCAGCTCAATCCCTCGCTCGAAGAGGACCTGCTCGAGTCGGTCGATATTCCCCTGACAGTCAAGAAATGCTCAAAGACGAAGCGCGACTTTCTGTGCTGCGACTACAACCGCGACGGTGACAGCTGGCGCAGTCCGTGGAGCAACGAGTTCGAGCCGCCCATTGACGAGGGTGTCACGCCTAGTGATCGTGTCCGTAAGATGGAGGTCAAGGCAAACGAGGCTTTTGACGTCTACAGAGAACTGTGAGTTGCATGCGGGGGTGGGGACGTGGCTATGGCGGGGTCGTGGTAACTGACGCGGGCAGGTACTTTGAGGGCGGAATATCCAGTGTTTATCTGTGGGATATGGACGATGGCTTCGCTGGCTGTGTGCTGCTGAAGAAGTGTATGCATGCCGCCTCGGATCTGCGTTGCTGAGTAGACACTGACAGACAGACAACAGCCGTCAGCCCCACCCCGAAGAGCTCCGGCAGCTGGGACAGTATCCACGTCTTCGATGCCCAAGATCGCGCCCGAACATCGCACTACAAGCTCACATCGACCGTTATCCTCTCCCTCGGCACCGACAGTGAGGCACTCGGCGGCCTCGACCTCTCCGGCAATATGGTACGCCAGGTTGAAGCCGACATGGCCGTCGAGGATGACACCTCGCACGTCGCCAATATCGGCAAGATGGTCGAAGACATGGAGCTCAAGATGCGCAATCTGCTGCAAGAGGTCTACTTTGGCAAGGCCAAAGATGTTGTTGGAGACCTACGGAGTCTCCAGTCGCTCAGCCAGGCCAACAAAGACCGCGCCACTCAGAGGGAGATGATTAACAGCATGGGCCGATAGGCATAGGAGGGCACATGGTGACGACAAGGTGGACAGGTGCTACATGTCATAGATGGAATTGAATGAATACCAGCTTGAGGGCAACATGAGGGGTTGAGTCCCGTGACCCAGATGAAAAGCCTCTCCAAACGTTGTTCTGATTCTGTTTACTCCACTTGTGAGCAAGTGTTGACCGGTATTTGCATTGGACCGTGGACATCCAGTCTAATCTAGAACCGGCTGGTGCAGTTTGCCCGGACGCTCGTGAAAGATTAAAGACGCTCGTATTCCCGAGTCAACAGTCGACTGCATCATGGTATTCAGCTGAACATACGATATGTGCAGTTCGACCTGAGCGGCTGCATCTTTAGACCTCGCTAATCTCTCGCCGTGGCCACTCCGAGAATCCTCCGCTGCGCCGCAATGCCACACCAGCGCCAATATATTACAAGTCACTGGTTCCAATATTCCAAGACATGTACAATGAGCTAAACAAAGCCATCGGTAGCGTGCTGCATGCGAGGCTCCATCTGTACGCTGGCGGTCATTGGACTATCACTCCACAAAGTACTCAGTACACCACAACACTTTACTAGGACATACAGCAAACAACTAAGCGAAAGCTGTTCTAGACACCATGCACCTTCCTCTTACAGGATGTTCAATAGTAGCTACCATCCTTCGGTAACACCAACGCATCTCATGCTACGCAAACCGGTCACCGGCCCGCTCATGAGCACTATCCATGAGTTCGAGATGGACAAGGGATAGATCAGGTAACCATGCTTGAAACTATATATTGGAGGCAAATATAGCCATCTAGTCTCAAAAAGTACCTCAAGATGGTGTTTCTGAATGGTGCCTTGCTCTTAGGGCTCATATCTCATTGTCTAGCGGCACCCCACCGCAACGTCGGTAGAGCTACTACATCCCTCATCCCAACTTCCTCCCTTTCAGCACCAACCGGAACCCCAACAAATGCCCCAAATGCCGACCAGAAGAGATACGCCAAGCATGTCAACGAATTTTACAGACTATACGGCTGGCTCAAGCCAGGCACTTCAGTGCCAGACAGTGATCTTCCAGAGGCTATTCGTAAGATCCAGGCAAAGCTAAAGGAGCCAGTGACTGGGGAGTTTAGTGACAAAATGATGGCTATGATGAACGGACCTCGCTGTGGAACTGAACAGCAGTATGTTGGTACTAAGGCTGGGGAAGGTCAGGAGCGATATGTGCTTTGGGGTCCGAAATGGGCTAAGACGACATTGACCTGGCGCATCGACAGGTATACAAATGACTTGTCGCAGGAGCGACAGCTGAGTACCATAAGGTCAGTACGTAGCCTATAAGTCTTACGAATGCTAACATCTCCCAGCACAGCCTTTGCTCAATGGATGAACTCTGCCCCACTCAACATTGTCCAAGCAGCTTCAAATGTAAAGGCCGACATAAACATTCGTTTCTTACCCATCAACAGTAACAGAACTGTCGCCATCACAACTATAGACTCAGATGGTGTATATTTCACCCCCGGTAAAATTAATATCACATTCAACGACAATGAACAGTGGACAGACGACATTCTCTTCTCCACCACAGCTGTACACGAAATAGGTCACGCCCTCGGACTAAGCCACAGTACCATCCCATCAGCCATCATGTTCGCCTACTACGACGGTCTCATGCACCCAATCCACCCTGACGACAAAATGGGTATCCACAGCATCTACGGCTGGAAAACGCCTAAATGGAAGCTCATAGATTCCGGCTCAAAAGTCAGCAGCATGATCCAAGTCACTTCCAGCTTCAACACGCCTGCCCCCAACGACGGCCTCTACCAGATGCGTCCGACAGGCCAGATCCTCCGGTACATCAATAACGCCTGGACAACTGTCGACAACTACAAAGAAACCGCCCAAATAACCGGTGCAAACGGCATCCTCTACCAACGCCACTACGACGGCGGAACCTTCCGCTGGACAGGCACAGACTCAAACTGGCAATCCATCAGTCCCACCGACACATCCATTCTCGACATCCACGCCGCCTCCGACCAACTCTACGCCCGACGCAAAGACGGCTCCGTAGTCCGCCTCTCAGGCTCTACCTGGCTCACAATCGACCAAACCGCACCTGGTTCGCGCCAAATCGCCGTATCCTACGATAAAACGCTGTGGAACATGCTGGCAAACGGCGACCTAGTGCGATCGCGCTGGCCCTACACTTCCGCAGCCATCCTCGACAGAAACGCCGCGAACATTGGGATTGCGGTTGGCGGCAACGAGTTTTTCAAAGTGCAGAGCGATGGCGCGGTTGTGTGGCTCGACAATAAAGGTCCGTATTGGAGTGTTATTGAGCAGAAGGGGAGTGTGGGGATATATGCGGTGGGGGAGCTGCTGTATAGTCGGCATGCTGATGGGACGGTGTGGCGGTGGACGGGGACGCCGGGGATATGGGAGGAGATTGATGAGAGGGGTGGAATTGGGAGTGTCACCGGGGATCGGGTGGGAGGGGCTTGGGGGGTGTTGGGGGGGAGTGAGGTGTGGATGCATGTTTCTTGATGTTGGAGATGTGGGTATGACTTATGAGGTTATGAAATTATATACGAAGTTACGATGGCATGAAGAGGAATGTTTTTTTTTGAGAAATACTGAGTTCTATGCAGCGTTGGTAGTATGTACATCATGAGATCTAGTTCTACATATCTCCCCCATATGCATGAAACTGCCCGCACAAAAGTATCTAGAACCTCCCTATTTTGACAACCCCCACCCGTATTCACCGTCGCCGTGTCCTATCAACATACAAGATTTCAGGCTTTGGTGTTTCCGTGCATGCAGGCGCGACTGTAAATACGTTTGGTGTCTTGTTTTCAGACAAAGGTGAGGGCACTTCCGCCGATATTCCTACGGATGCGTGTTAAATTGCCTTTAATATCGCCTCAATAGGGTTCAAGAGCATGAGCCCCTGATACTGAGTCGGACTTTCTTCAGTTTTCGGATGGGCCCATTGATGTGGGAAGTAACTGAGTCATTGTACAGGCGGAGGGCTTTTCTTCCTTTCCTTACAAGATTTTACCGACGAGGGGAAGAGAGGGGGGTAAGAAGAAAGAATTGTAGTTTCAAGGTCGGAGGTGCAATATACTAGTTTTGTATACCTTTGGGCTGGAAATCTTGAGACTCATACAAGTTAGATGTTCAAGTATGTAGGAGCGTTCCCGTCTCAGAAACATGTCGCTAGTAAACTTGGTTTTTCAGGGTAGCAGTAGCTGCGCCAAGGGTTTACCTTGCCGTAGCTAATAAGCAAATTATGTTTGAGATTGAGTGCTTACATGTGTGTGACATTGAGTTGGATTAATGAGTTTATATCTCAAAGACTATGACCATTCCTTGCTCCGTATGTGCCCTTGGTATCCTCGAGGCCCTGAAAAGCATACAGAGTGATGAATAAAAACTGTAAATGGTATAGGCGGAGACTTAAGTTATGATAACTAACCCTAATTTGTCGCTTGTCAGTAGTACGCTTTGCAGGAGTTTCTCTCCTATTGCCATATACATGAAAACTAAAGAACAAGGTAGTTAGACCCGGAACTCTGGAAACGCTTTTAATAGCAACACTAAACAAATCGTTGCACATGATTGGTTCGTGTTTACTGCGTCACGCTCTCGGGTCCCCGGAATACAGATTAAGTTTAACTCCGAGCTAACTTCCCCAAGCCTGGCTGCACCTCGAACGCGACACATGATTCCACTGCACTTCTCACATCGCTTTTCTTGGCCCTCTCCACAATCAGAATCCCTTGAATCAAATGTTCAAACACTTGGGTTAGCTGCAACTATGGTGATCTTGACTATACCAGCCTCGGTCGCGAAGCGAAAGCAAGCATGCACCAGCTGTCGACAGCGGAAGAAGAAATGCGACGTACGTGTAATGATGTACTATTCAAACTTGGCCCCTCTCTCTAACAGTAGTATGCGATACAGGCCGAGCATCCGAGCTGTTCTTTGTGTAGAAAACTAAATATTAAATGCCAGTATGGGGCTCCGTCACGCCAAGACAGCAGTTTACTTCCTGCAGCCTCCTCAGAGAGTTCTCTTAGTCCAGACACAGTTGTTTTGCCTCCTAGTTTCGATATGGGGCCACCTGGCCTACTGCCATCCATGAAACTCACAGGCACAATCTTCGATCTTCCATGCTCTGCCCCCTTAGCATATGAAGATCCTCTAGTGTGCTTCCCCACACCTGAATCCACGGACGTTCCAACCGATGATACGTTTAGTTTCCAGGCGTTTGATAGCTTCCAGCCGCCGTCGCAAGATATCACCATTCAGCTTACCAACCTCTTCTTCGAGCATCTTTACCCTATGTTTCCCTGCTTTCACAAGAAGAGCCTCCTGTCTAGTGTGGAAAGCGGCAAGCTACAGGACGAATCACCAACCTTGGTTTACGCAATTTGCTGTATAGCAGCCAGATTTCATCCTGATTGTGCTATAAAAAAGCGTTCAAAAGACTGGTACGAGCAAGCAAAGTTCTCCTATAACCTCACCTGCCAAAAGCCCGAACCAACTTTACGCACCATCCAATCTGTATTACTTCTCATGTTCCATTCCTGGACTTCATGCGACTTTTCTTCCAGCTGGTTATTACTAGGAAAAGCATGGCGACAGGCTGTTGTTCTTGGTCTGAACATAGACGCGGATAATGTGAAAACATGTCGGCCCAATATGCATGAAGAGAAGACGTCAGTCGGTAAAGAAGAGCGTCGGCGAGCTTTATGGCTTCTTTTCATGTTGGACCGAATAAACTCATGGGCGACGGGCTGGCAGACCGCTATACCCGAGACTCAATTCAAAGTTGACTTATTGAAACCTGAATCGGTCTTTCAAGCCTTGGATCCAGAATCGGATACGCTTCATCATTCCAGTACGCCGTTTACGCAGAACCTGTCTGATCTGATATGTTCATCGTCGTCCGCAAGAGAACCTCTGAATGTGCTACACTACCTAGCAATTGCGCATGTTCTGCTCGGCCGAGTATCCGAGTTGATACATTCCCTACACAGCGCCCCCGACTCACCCGAGTATGCAGAAGAATGCGCCAAGCTGGACAGCCTGATTATTAAATTCCGGCTCAGTCTGCCCCGTCAAGCCAGCTCAGTACTAGCAGCACCACCAGCAGATCGCCAGCAGGTGGTATGGCTGCAAATCACCTTGAATGCCATGACGTTGATACTACATTACAGCTGTGAGGCACAGGGTTCGATTTCGAGTCCATCTTCCCCGTTCAGCCTCGCTGTCATTGCGGCCCGAAATGTCGCACAGATAGTCAAAGATGCATCACGCATTTCGGTTGATTTACTGCTCTCCCCGTATATAGGGTCATCTTTGTACGTTTCGGCATGCGTGCTCGTTATCCAATGGCGCCAAAGCGGCGATCAAAGTGTCAAAGACGAAATCGACCTGATCACTCTAGTATTCGAGCATATGCATGAAGACGAGAGCTTCCTTGGCCGAAAGCTCAAATCCGCGGTCGAAAAAGATATGAAGAAGAGCCAAGAGGAACTACGAAACTTACAAAAGCGAGGTTTCAGAGGCCTTGTGGCAGATTGTAGAGTGTCAGATCGCGTCAGACAGGAAGTACAATATGGGGGACTGGAAATCAGCATAGATTAAGCTGTGCTACTTTTTACATGTCACTAGTTACAGCAAAGGAAGTTATGATGTGGAACCAACAAGACAATGCCCACCATCGCTATTTACCTGCGCGCCATTGGCAGACCTATCCTTCATGATCCATCCGTACGCCTCAGCAATGTCTCCTGGCCGACCAATCTCCCCCGTCAGACTCATTCCCTTCTTCATCTGATCAATATACTCAGCCGGAATCCCAGTAGTAAGACTCTGAAACAGCTCCGTATCTACGCCACCAAGGGCTACGAGATTGGCTCGAATCGGAGCCAGCTCTACCGCAAGACCTCGTGTTAAGCCCTCGAGGGCGCCACCTATGGCTGCGGTCATAGTCCAACCTGGAGATGGGCGGTGCGTGCTTGAACCAGCGGTCAAGGCGATGGAGCTGGAGGGAGATTTGGGCATGTAGTCGCCGTTGGCAATGAGTTTCCCCAAGGCGAACGGAGCGAGGAAGCGGACGGTAAAGGCATCGAGCGCAGTACTTGTTTCCAGTTCACCAATCTTGAATGTAGTGATGGCGTTTCCGGCTGTGAAACTAATGTGGTTGATTTTATTCTTTCCGTTTTCGGTTGCTTTGTCTAGTACTGCGCTCAGGTTTTTTTCGAGGTTGGCCTTATCGGTCAGGTCGGCGGCGAAGCCTGCTACATTGGTAGCGGGCGTGTTTGGATACATGGAACGCAGAAGCTCGACTTTGGCGTCAACCTTGGGCTGGCTGGAGCCTGAAATGGTGACTTTGGCCCCGGAGGAGAGGGCCATGTTGGCAATGGCGAAGCCGACGCCTGATGTTCCCCCAAATACGAGGACGTGCGCGTTTGCAAGGCGGTTTTGGTGGGCCATTGTAGAGATATCCTAATGAGAAGTGATATAAAGGGTAGAGATGATAAGCACAGGGAAGATTGCAATTGTGTCTACCGAGAATATCTCTGCCTTTACGCTTCTTTATACTGTTTCACCTTTGCAAAGTCCGCTGTGCAAGATTAACATTTTTTGAGAATAGCGAAGCCGACATTTGATCCACAGGCCGCTTTCCGAGCCCGCTTGTCCGCTAGTCTCCGACAGGTTGCGGTCTGGATTATCTTATAGCGTTTTGGGGCGTTGATATGTGGTTGTGAAGTGGACCCCAAAGCGGGCGGGCGGGCGGTGACGCTACTGCATGAGCGGTACAGTTGGCCGTTTAGACCACGTACGCACCGCTACTAGTACTAGGGGAGTAACCAAACCTATCAAGTATCACCTCGAGAGCCTAGCAAACGCTGCTACGCCGAATAAATGCGAAGGCGATACCGTGTAATTTTGAAAGTGGCATATTTAGAGCTCAATGCTTTCTCTCAACGCACACTTGGCTGCAACAGTTCTGGGCAAGGACGACTTTGTGGCAACGCGAACATTTATCTTAATTCACACTTGGCTGCAATGGTCATGAATAAAGAAGGCTTTGCAGCAACACGAGCGCTTGATATTATTCAGGCCTCCAATTGCCTAAGCAGCCCATTACGCAGGTCACCCAATATCCAGGCCGCCGCCACCTAGCTAAGCTGAGGTAGGACCATTGATAGAGCTCCGCCTACTGTGGTTGCCGGCGAAGGTTTTGTAGGTGGAGAGGCTAAAAATAATGACTAGGACTGTGACAGATACAGAGGTTTCGACCAGGCACAACAGGTGAAATTTGCAGTCAGCTCGTAGTAGACTTGTTTTAGATTATTAGTATCTTACTATGAAAAACAGTCAGAGTTTTTTTATCTTATCTCTCCCATATTATGCTTACCCGAGCTGAATATCTATGACTCAGTTCAAAAAACACCAGAAAAGAACTTTTGATAGCATATAGTTTAGCAGTAGAAAATAGCATAAACTCGTAGTAAAAACGTAGTAGTAGAGCCTTCGAGTAAGTATTGAATGATATAATGTAAGAAGGGCGTTTTCGGTATAGAAAACTAATCAACCCAGCATTTACTACATCTATTTGGCCCCCTATGTCTTCCTTCGGAGGTGAGAACAGGCAGCAGGTGATATCAATCATGGCGCTCAATTCATTTGTCACCTTCCAATGAGCTGAAGGTGGATCAATTTCAGCATAGTTAATTAGGCCAGCTGATGTCTTAGTCAAGTAAAAGCTAGATTATGATTGTGGCGGCGAATCAGTCAACACGATAGTTCGTAGATTTTGTAATAGATACGCCACTGACCAAGACGGCGCTTCTGATTAGCTAGCCTGAAAACAGTAACTTATCAGAAGGTGATAACAGAATGAGCGCCACGAGGATGTTAAGAAGTCAGAATCCCAGGCGAGTCGAAATCGGGCCCGCTGGCTTAGAACACCTCAATTTTACTCTGGACTAGTTTCACCGGGGATCGATATCTGTGCGCAGCTCACAAGGCTACTGATTACAGTGACACGCTTTCACTGTACACAAACATATATATATAGTGAGGTATCCAGTGCATAGAGACGGCATCAATCAACAGTCAATCGATACCATCTCAACATGCCTTCAACTATCGGCATCGCTGTGTCAGTCTCGCTTTTTGCAACTAGCGTTGACTGAAACAATACTCAACACCAACAATGCTACAATAGTCGATATCACGATTTCTTCAGATAAGCCTAGCTGCCACCTAATATCGTAGTTTTTATGTCGCTATAGTCGCTATACGCGAGGTACGTAGTAATAACTGACGTCATATTGTTAGCCGCCAATCTAAACTCGATCAGTATTAACAATTCGTTTATGGCAAAGCTTGCGCTAGGATAGACCTTTGGTCGACTTGAGCCTAGCCATATGAGGCAAGCTCATCACACTTCTCTAGATGCTGATATGAGAGTAACTTTGATAGGTCAAGGAGAAAGGCATTCAAGAAAATCCAGCTATAATAATAAACACTTTGATATACACGTCTCTTGGAGAAACCACTGCACTACACTTCTCAAAACACATTAATTAAAGCTCGTTATGTTCGGGCGCGTCTTCCTCAACCTCCTCGACCTGAATCTTAACCTGCTCATGGACTTCTTCCTTGACCTTCTTAGCTTTTGGCTTTTCACCGGGCACTAGAAGCGAATCTGGCAGCTTCTCCTTCTTGCCCTCTCCCATACGGATGGCATCGACCCATTGCTCAACCTCCTGAAGTCCAAAGGTGGTGCCCGAGTACTTCTTATACCACGCGCGCTTGCCGTTAGTGGCAATGAGGTGGACTTGGTCTGCGCTTCCGAGACTCAGCTCCGCAATCAAGTTAGCGGCCAGAGGATTAGCGGAGGCAACGCTGACAAAGGGGAACAGATGGCTTCCGGCGACATCGTATTTCTTGTGAATAGAAGCGAGAGAAGCGACGGCGGTAGTGGCGGTTTCCGAGGTCTCATCCTTGGGCAAGAGTGCCAGGATACACGTCTTGCTTTGGTCGGTCAAGCACATGGATTGCAGCTCGGCAGATTCAGCGATCAAGGGAATCGTTGGCTTGAGTTCTTCCTCAGGAATGACAACTGGGTTTGGAGTGTCCTCGTCCTTGATGTTTGGATCGGGCGACTCCGTAGATTGCTCCACGGTCTCTTCTGTCGCTGATGCGGCAGCCGAAGAAGCTTCAGCATCCTTGTGAGCAGCCGAAGCCTTGGAGAATTTGCTCGAGGCCTTGGAATCCTTCTTGCTATCCTTTTTGCCTTTTGCCTTCTTCTCTTTGGGAGGCGGGCAGTCGGGGTTTGGCGGGGCGACTTGAGACAGGAACTTGACCATGGCCGCCTTGTCGACCTTGCCCTCATGTTTGATCGGCGTGTCTGAGCCGGCGGGAATGAGGATCAGCGTGGGATACTCGGTGATGCCGTACTTTTCAACCGCTGCCTTCTCGGCCTTCTTAACCTGAGCAACTGAGACGATGCCAGCAAAATCAATTGCCAGTGCCCTGAGTGTGGCGCTGACAACTCCCTTTTCGCTGAACAGAATAGCCTTGGCGGTGTCCTTGTTCTCTTGTAGCCATTCATCGAGGTTCTTGTCGTTTACCCTCTTGACTGAATTGGGAACCTTGTCCTTGACAGTCTCGACGATGCCCTTGGCTGATCGAGGACCCTGGTAGTCCTCGATTGTTGGCTTGCCATATTTCTTGCTGGGACGGAAAATCTTGAGAGTAGGGAAGCCCTGGACACCCATGTTTCCGCAGAAAGGCTTATTCATCTCTTCGTCGCAGTTGACGGCGGCGACCTTGGCTATTCCTTGAAGAGACTTAGCCGCTGTTTCGTAGGCGGGCTTGAGGTTTTTGCAGTGGCCACACCATGGCGCGTAGAATCTGGAGACGTAAGAATGCGAAGCTTGGTCAAGATGAATGTAGCTTACTCGACAATCTAACATTTTATTAGTCGGCAATTCTCAAATCAGGTCGTGTACACTTACAGAGGTGTAGTTTGACTTTGCAATGACTCGGTCGTAGTCCATGCCGTTAATCGAGACGACGGCGCTGTTCTTGGGGTACATGCTCTCTGCGCGCGCATTGAGGGCCAGAGCAGCCGTAGCGGCGAACAGGGTCGATGTGCGCACCATGATTGAGGTGATTGCTTGTAAAGTAAAGTGGAGAGCAAGCAGGGGAAAAGAAGAGAAGCTGCTGCAGGGCTTATAGGTGTTCACCAGGCCTTGATGCCAGGTTGGCCTTTTCTTTTTATTTGCAGCAGCACTACCCGTGTGTCTACCTGGCCAGAGCTGCGATGCGGGGAGACAGGGATGCTGCTACACTAGCGCCTATGACCGCATCCTCCGCGCGCCGAGGGGAGCCTAATATACATGTACTATATTCACCCCTCCAAAACACCCACGCCGTATACTCAGCACTATCGCATATCCACAGCCATGGCCAATGTCACTCCAGCCAAGCTCAAGAAGCTGCAGCTCGCTGAGCCGGCCAAGCGCGCCGCCCAGCTCGAGCGCGTCAAGCCCATCATGACCTACTGGCGTGAGTACCATTGTTGCTATGCTTCTACCCAGCGCGCATGCTAACCACTATGACCAGTGAGATTCTATATGGTTCAGAAAATCATCGCCGGCGGCCTGCACTCGGCCGATCCGGAATGCACTGCCTACACGACCAATCTCATGGAGAAACTCGAGCAGGCAAAAGCCGAGAACCCTGGCGAGGAGGCCTTGGTCGATGACACCGTCGCAGGCGCCTACTGCGAACAGTTTGCCCTCCAGACACTGGCCAAGGCGGAGCGCGAGATGGCTGAGAATAGAGTCAATGGGTACGTCTCCAGCGCATGGTGTCATGAGCGCCCAAGCTAACTGTCGTGGACAGACAAACAGTCGATACTCTGCGCGCAGCCTCCACATTCCTCGAGATGATGTCCGTCTGGAAAAACAACGACGCTGAAATCGCTGCAAAGACAAAGTATGCCAAGTACCACGCCCTACGCATCCTCAAAGCCATCAAAGCTGGCGAAGATCCCAATGCCACGAATCCTGTGCAAGAAACCCATCAACAAGCTGCATCGCCGCCTGCTTTGGATCCAGAAGACCCAGAGGTACAGCGTATAAATCAGGGCGCTCCACCGCAAAGTCCGTACCAACCCTACGTCGAGTCGGCCCCAGATACCTCACAACCATCGCCCAACTTCTCCGCTCCTCCAGTGTCTCCTCCAGCTCCCGATCTCCCTTCTGCGCCTACCGGATATACACAGCCCTCCCATAGCGATGTATCTCCAATCTCACAGCCCGCACAGTCACGGCAGGGCTCTGTCACTTCTATTGGCGGGGGATATTTCCCAAAGACAGATCCTCCTACTTTCACGGGAGAGTCGGCGCCACCCGGTCTACCAACAGCACCAATGGACCGCGATCCCTTGACATCTTCTTTGCCTACTAGTCCTCAGGTACCGCAAGCGCCTGGTGCATCGGATCCTGTGAGCTTCTACCAAAACCCTGTATCGCCGCCAGCCGCTCCGCCTGTCCAGAATACCTACCAACCTCCTCCGCAAAATCAATACGCACCACCACAGACAGGCGCTTTCCCGCCTCAACAACAATACACACCAACGCCACACCAGAATCCATATGCTCAACCCGCACCGCCACCCCAACCTTCACAGCACTATTCCAATGGCCCTTTCAAGAATGACGAAGACTCCATCGCGCTGGCCCAAAAGCACGCCAAATGGGCAATCTCAGCGCTAAATTTCGAAGATGCTGACACAGCGGTAAAAGAACTACGCATCGCTCTCAAGGCTTTGGGCGCATAAGGTTCGGATTGTCTACTCTGTGCGATCTGAAAAATTTCCACGTATTGCATTTATGAAACTCATGATATTTGCCGGTTTGCTGTATACCCATGTTTGTAGACGTGTTGGAGGCGGATCACCGTCTCTTATGTAACTTGAAGGTAGATGCAGACAACAAAAGGAATTAAAAGCGATTCTCCTGTCCACCAGACATTGGCGCGCACTTTGCCTCACGTGACCATGTTTACATTCAAAAAGGACCAACTCAGACGTGACATAAGAACACAAGTACACCTGCAAAAAAACAGCGAGACTCATGAATCAGTCACTGTTTCCGCCCTAGCATATGCCAAGACATGAGTGCACGTGCCCTTGGGCCAGAGCTTAAGAAATCCAGCCGAAACTCATCCTCACTCCTCATCGACCTTCACAACACAAGGCCGAGCTGCATGTAGTCATGCTTCTGGGAAAGCCTCGCACAAGCTGTAACCCATGATACAGCGGCGACAATGGCACCCATCACACCTTTCAATGCGGCGGATATAACCGAAAAAGCGCGGCGAGAGCTGCTTCTTCTGCTCGAAGGTGTAAGGTAATATCAGCGCCGCAACGTGCTGCCACATCTAACACATGCAAATAGATACGAGGAAAGAAGAACCTCGTGCTTGAGAAGGCGCTTGCCGGTCCGCTGAATCTCCTTGTCAAGTTCTCGACACTACAAGAATATGGCGTTGACAAGCCCTTTTTCCTTGAGAACGACAACGTCGACTCCTCACAGCGCAACATTGTCTTCCTCGTTAGAGGCGAAAAGGCAAAGACTGTGATGGCTGTTGCTGGTAAGTGAAGCGTCTCGGCTTCCTTGCTTCACTCCTCGCATGCTGCACAGCATGGTTTGGGTCAAAAAGTAGGCTAGGCAGATTTTTACCTACTCTGTCTGGCCAGTCTTGATCCCTAGAATAAACAAAGCGCTTTTATTGGATTGCCTATCATCTATATAGGATCAGTCTATTGTACGGTGCTAACATCCTAGATAGATCAGATAAAACGTATTCGACGCGACAGCGAAATTGAACATGAATTCTCCATCTTTTGGGTTCCCCGCCGCACTTTGACGTCCGATCAACTACTTGAAGAAGCAGGTGTCCTGGGTGAAGCTAGTGTGAGCGAGTGGCCACTGTTTTTCGTGCCTCTTGCAGATGATGTCTTGTCGCTTGAGCTGGAAGATGCCGTGTCGGATCTGTATCTTGTATGTTGCATCCCATCGCCACCAGACCTGGAGCTGACTATCTAAAGAGAAAAGACCCGACGGCCATTTATTTGTCAGCCAAGGCACTGATGCTTCAGCAGCAAAAGTATGGACTCTTTCCACGAATCATTGGTAAAGGTGACAACGGAAAGCGCCTTGCGGACCTGCTCATTCGTATGCGCACCGAGGTTGCTGCAAGCGAGACGTCTGCTGGTGGAGGACTGTCGTTTCTGGGATTGACACCTAGCTCCAACATAGACAGCCTCATCATTATTGATCGAGAAGTTGACTTTCCTACTGTGCTACTGACTCAGCTCACCTACGAAGGCCTTATTGATGAGGTCTTCAACATCTCTGCCAATCAAACGGAAGTTGATTCTTCCATTATTGGCGGTGTAACGCCTCAACAAGGTCAGACGGGTTCGGCATCTACAAGTATGAAGCGCAAGGTCATGATTGATGCCAAAGACACATTGTACGCAGATCTTGGTGATGCCAACTTTGCCATCGTAGGCAACCTCCTCAACCAGGCGGCTCGGCGGCTCCAGAGTAGCACTGGGCGCGACCAGCTTGCCACGAAAACGACTTCAGAGTTGCGCGACTTTGTTGCAAAGCTTCCTGGTTACCAGGCCGAGCAGGCCAGTCTAAAACTACACACCAGTCTTGCAGAGGAGATCATCAAGTTTACGCGTACCGACATCTTTACACGAAGCCTAGAAGTACAGCAAAACATCATGTCTGGCGCAGACCCCACAACACAACACGATACCATTACCGAACTCATCAACCGCGACGTACCTCTGCCTGCCATTCTGCGTTTACTGTGCTTGGAGAGTACAACAAACGCGGGTATTCGTCCAAAAGACCTCGAAAACTTCAAACGTGCCATAATTCAGGCCTACGGGCCGCAGCACATGCTCACCCTCGCTTCTCTCGAGAAGATGGGTCTACTCGCCCTACGAGGAGGCGTGAGTCTCGGCGGCGTAGGTGCACCGGCGAAACCGGGCAGTGTAACCAACTACACGCCCTTGAGAAAGAGTCTCAAAATCTGGGACGACGATGTAAATGAGGCGAATCCAAACGACATCTCGTACACTTTTTCGGGTTATGCACCCCTAAGTGTTCGTCTCATTCAGTCAATCATCCAGAAACACACGCTGGCAAATGCCATCAAGCCCTCCACCGACCCCCGGGCTTCGGCTCAAGCAAATCCCCTCGCTCAGGGCCTCCGCATCTTTGATGATGCGACAAAATACGTCCGCGGCGCCACGTTTGATGAGGCACAAAAGGGAGAGGAGAAGGCTGTCAAGGCGAGACAGCTACTTAATGGTAGCCAAGTTGAGAAAAACAAGACTGTAGCTGTGTTCTTCCTTGGTGGCGTCACGAGGGCTGAGATTGCGGCGCTGAGATTCATCGGCAATAAGTTGAAGGAGTCTGGGGGTGAGGGGAGGGGCAGTCGGATTGTCGTTTGTGCGACGAATATTATTCGGGGCGAGGAGTTGGTGGGGAGCGCGATTGAGAAGAGAAGGTTTAGGGCGTGAGAAGGTGGGGGGGTGTTTGGTGGTTTGATGGGTCATGGTTAGGGGAGAAGGAGGAGTGGCAATTGGTAGATGAGAGAGGTTTAATAGGAGATTAATTGTGTTTTGATGATATATATACATGTGTTCCTGTTTACTTCGGCATACTCGTATGACTTGTCAGGACACTTGAGTCAGCATGAAGATGGGGAATGAGGCAATAGTGAGGATGCATAGATATTGAAGCTGTGTGATCAGGTCAAATCGTGCAAGTGCCTTGCTACCTTATGCAAGCAAGGCAAGTGAGAGGGTATGAGGGACGAAAGTTCCCAAGTAGGCGTGAAAGACAATTGTCAAAAAAAAAGAGTGAATAAGTTGTAAACACCACAAACCTTCTTCATCATTTGCTTCTAGACCTGCACCTACTACGCCTTTTCATGCCTGAAACAACGACACATGGATTTTCTGCCAGTCTCTCCTCCCCACACGCCCCTTTCTCCCCCCTTTGTCGACTCTTCATTACACACACTCTCCCCCCTCAGGCATACACATTAACTAACATCAACGGACCTTCTTCTCGGAGCAAGACCACCCCCTCTTTTCGCAAATTCAATCAAAGAAAAAAAGAGAACAAGATGGTGGAAGAAAAAAAGCCAACGAAAAAAAAAAGTTCGGTGGGCTGCGAGGAAAAAAACGCGCGCTAGCCACGTGGT